CTCTTTATCGTGTTCTCGTTTTCTCAGTCTCTTGGTCTTTCCACTTCCCAGTTTCTCTTTTTTCTTTCGTTTTCATTTTCTTCATTTCGTTCTTATTTTTCTTACTCCTTATTTCTCTCTCACGTTCTGTTCGTGGTCACCGGCTTTTTTTTTTTCTTTCTTTCTCTCTTTCTCGATTTCTTTCCCTTCCTCTTTCCTTTTCGCTTGCTCTTCCCCCTCAGTCATTTTCTATTGCATTTTTTCTTTAGCTCTTTCTTTTCTGTATTTCTTTTCATGGTTTTCCCTTCTATTTCTTTTAATCATCTCATCCTTGCTTTCCCCTTCTTTCTCTCTCCCTCTCCCTAGTTCTTTCTTTGTTTCTTTCACATTCACATTCCTTTCCCCTTTTCTATTTTTCTTCATTTCTACTTTATTCTCCCTTCTCTTTCCTCTTTTATAAATCTATCTGTCAATCTATCTTTCTACCCTCTACTATATTGTATGTATTTCTCTCCACTTTATCGATAATTCAGCTTAGCACTAGTCTCTTAGATTATAGTATTCGTGGTGGATTGTTCATAAAATTATATAACCTATTCTACATCCACCAAATTGATAGATACGATATATGGAAAGCCATGCCTAAGTTTCCTTAGAAAAGTAAACTAATTTTTTTGGCATAATGCTTGTTTGTGAACGAGTTCTTTCGAATAACCTCGAGGAGAATTGTTATATCTATATATCATCTATAATGTTAGCGATTCTATCCTAATCTTGAATTAATTCTTATACGTCCTGTCTACTATAATTTAGTGAGGCAGCCCTATTAACCGTTATGTTTCGCAATCCGACAGTCTTTCCACATATATCTGACCAAGAGTCTTTGCCGTATTCGGCGACTGGGCAGTTTTGCTGGGAGAGAGGACAGTTTTCCGAGTGACAAAGTATTATGAAACAGAGTTGGATGAGAGATGCGCAGGAGTAGCGCTTTCGTTGGTTCACTGCAGGATCCGGAAGTGCAATGCCCATAAAGATTATCATTTAATTTTGGATACTAGTGCGACCTATATAGCTTTCAAAACTTCAGATTCTGAGCCTACGAGGAGCGTGATCGATCCGGGACTGTTCGGGTACGGACCGCGACAGGACTCACTTGCCACCTAGGTTTGATGTTTTGGAGACAGTTATTTTTAAGAGGTATAACCAGTGCTTTGCCCGGTCAGATATTCCATTATAGCGCTGTCATACAGGCTATCGGAGGATTCACAAGAGTAAAATGCTTTAGAAGCACAAAGGTTCATCCAAAACAGTGAAACACACTGGGGCCGTCTACAAAGTAGTAGTTTTTGTACTAGAATATTCTATCTAATGGAGGCCTTTGGTCACGTAGCAGAACCCTAATAAATATGTACGGCCATTGTGTGAAATAGGCAGGTATGTGTATTATTTAGTTGAGGCCGTTCAAGAGTTGATTATATTACTGCCACGGACTTATTTATCTGTACATCACTTACGCGAAAGTAAAAGATAGAAGACGAATTTTCCTTGGGAAAGGGACGGATACAAATGCAAAAATGGAGGGAAAAGAGCGCGATTGACTTAAACAATTAATTTTGAGTCTAGATGTGTATATACGCACATGATATTGTGCGTGCCTAGCAGGGGAGAGTATACCTGCGGTGTATTTGGTCTCAGTTTTCCTCTGTTGTTGTTCCTTTGAAATCCCACCCACGACAGTACCACCAAAGCATACGATGAAGGCAATAGGGACTGGGATACGTTAGATGCCAACATTGAAGGTGTTCTTTCTTCCAAACCGAGAGGACCATGCTAGACAACCTCTCGACGTATATTTCTCGTTAAATACGCTCGGGAATGATGATAAATGTGGTAACTTATTGAGAGATCATTTTTTATATTAAGGATTTCTACTGCAATAATCAATGCCGTATAGTAACTTTTACTTTTACTCGATTCTATACTTTTGTGACTGAATTGTAAAGGACTTAACTTAATTGAGAAAATTTTCTAAACGCCAAAGCGTCCTTAAACCAACGTCAAATATGCTTCACGTGTTCATGAGTTTAAATGCTATTTTACTGCTTACATTGCACTTAGTACTCCTGTCTATCGCATTCTTAGCTTGATTCTGGTTAGTAATGCTCTACCCTAATTCACCTCACTTAAAATGTATAAATGAAATGCTGCTAGTCACCTTGTTATTAATTTAGATAGTTGTTATTAAAAAAGTAATCTTGCAGTATTATGCCGCCAAAGAAAATTCAGAGGCCTATAAATTCTATTGTGCACACTACTGCTCATCTCTATTTGCAGAGTCGATTGCTAGCAGTATGAAAAAACAGCGTGGGATATTCTGATTATCAGGGTTTTGCAAAATGGGACACCCTGCACGAGAGGCTTTAGCAGACACAGTGCAGCGCCGATTTGGACCCAGTCCATTTTACCTCAAAATCTTTGTTATAAAAACGGCACAAGTCTTCATCACATCCACTTTGTTCGAAATTACAAGTCGGTCTTCGCACCCGTTGCAATCCATGCCCTGGAAACAAAAAAATGTATCACGCTCAACCATCCACGACTCCACTTTCTTCACCTTAACTCTACACATCACCGTAGCATCCGTATAATGTGGACATATTCTAGGTCATAGCCATTACCGTAAATTATAGTAGATCTAGTAATATTCAATCAAATATTTAGAGAAAGTTCCCACGTATTGTCTTCTTATTTAAACGTCGCAAGAACCAATAAACAATGCGCTCTTCAGTAATTTCGATCATTTTAAAAGCAGATAATGGAACTAGGAAAGATGCTGCGGCTCCAGAGCTGCAAGTAACACTTCCTACCGGATATCAAAGAAACGCAGAATATTTTTGATAAAGATGCCTCAAAAAGCGACGATCCTATTTGGCACGAAAATATTTGGCAAATTGCTACAAAGAAAAAATCATAAAAAGACTTTCCTAAACCTACAAGTTTCTATAGTACTCTTGATTACATATATTTCGAGAATCCCACTATCAGCACACAAAGCTGATACCTTGTAAATCTGCTAAAATTATTGAAGAGTATGTGACTTAAGTCGGATGCCAGTTGCCAAATAATTGAATGCCGTTGTGACAGCGTCT